GGCTACTCAAAAGCTGAAAAAAGCAGAGACCACGTGTATTAAAAAGGTGCTAAAAGAGCCAGGCATGGTGGTAACATGCCTGTGATCCCAGCTACTTCAGGGGCAGAAATCAGGATGATCATGGTTTGAGACCAACCTGGGGAAAATGTTAGCAAGACCCCATATCAACAAGTAAGCCGGGCATGGTGGTACATGGGCAGTGTAGGAGGATGATCACCGGCTGAGACCCGCCCCAGGCAAAAATGTGAGATGCTACTAGAAAAAAGGACTAAAGCAAAAACAGAGCTGTGGGAGTGGCTCAAGTGGTAGAACAGACTGCAGGCCCTGAGTTTAATCCCCAGTAACACAAAACAAAAACAAAAAAAATGCTAAAAGAAAAAGTACTGTAAGAGTATGTGACCTTCATTCCTGTCCTCAGTCATAAGAGGGCAGTTCCTCCCCGCCATCTGCCTCAGCCCCAAGTCCCTTTGCCCAGAGCTACTGTGCCCTGCCCTGTGCAAGCCTCTCTCTCCTCTCAGGTCCAGTGGAACCAGATATTGGGTGTACACAGAGCACATGCACTTTCCTTTGATGTTCTGAACTTGTCCCGCTTGATCTGTAAGAACTGAGTGGCAGAACAACAAAATGGTTCAGAAAAATTTCCACTCCCATTTTCTCAGGAAAATACCAACCACATAACTTTGCACTTAAAAGCTATTTGAAAAGTGGTGATGAGGTTGGCCACCAGCTGGTGACCACAGAAAACTAAATATTGAAAACCAGAGTAAAATAGTTGTCATGGGAAGAATTTTATTTCTCTGCACAGAATATTTCAATAGCTGCTGGAGTTCAACAAGGTTGCTTGCCATAGGACTCCTTTCCCTCCTTTATAGGGTGCAGTCAGCATGCACGATCCTTAGGAGAGGAAGCTTCACAGGCCTTGTGCTGCTGAGACCTGGACAGATGGACTAGTTGGCTCTCCCCAACCCCAACCAGAGCATCATTAGTTTAGCATGAGGGGAACTCTAAATAAATGGCATAATTAAAGGTTTGGTTTTCCATCCTTGGCTCAAAACCAGGAAGCAGAATTGGGTGGCCTGCACCTCAGCTTATGGCAGCCTGGGAGGCAGCAAGAGCTGAACAAAGCCAAGCAATCCCAAATCTGCAGCCAAATGAAGAGCAAGCAAAGTCCTGGGGTTGGTTTCTGGTTTCTAGCATTATTCAACCATTCCTTAAAAATATATCCACACATGTGATGCATGACACATGAGGTGGGTTAAACTAGGACAAGTTGATATCCACAGCAAACTGCCCTCTTTCCCAGGGTACCCAGGAAAAGGCTGCTTGGTCTATAAAGACTTTCATTTATGGCACTCTTACTTGAGAGAGTACAGATGGAACCAATGATGAGTAAGAAAATACTATATGGAGAACTTAGGGAAGGGATGGCAAAAAGTTGGAAGGATTGGTTTAAAGGTTGGTAAAGCCAGGGTGAATTTCTCCAGGCACAGCTTGTCTACACTAAAGGAAGAAAATTATTCAACTTTGAGAGAAATAGGTCAGCCATTAATGACAAAATCTATCTGATACATGGATAATATATTCCCAACCCAAATACCTGCATGAAAAAAGAATAAAACCATCATGCATTAGTGGGCTGTTTTGAAGTACATTATCTGTGTAGTGTAGAAGTGACAGTTTTCCAAAATGTCACCCTATGACAGGACATCATGAAGACCACTCAGTAATTCAGTGGCTGAAAGATGGATTATTGAATGCTTATATGCCAAATGCTCTACAAATATTGCCTAGGAAATAAAAGAGACCTTATTAAAAACTCACAAACTTCTCTCTGTAAGTGTATAGTCTCACATTTTTTAAAAAATAGAAAATGTGTAAGGTGATATGAAAGTAAAATCATTTAGAATTCTATCAGTATGTTATTGCTTTATATAGGTATTTGTAAGAACATATTTAAAATTATACTGCATTCATAGTTTTGTTACTTCACTTTTGTTCCCAGTTATGACTATCTTAAATATTATGTGAATATTCTGAGTAAATATTCAAGAACTTTAGCTGACTGTAAAATCATTTTTTCGTATGTATGTTGTTCTACTGTCAGACTTTTGGGCTGCCTCTAGTTTTCCACATAGTTCTTTGCATATAAAGGTATGTAATAAGTATAAGATGTGGATTGTATTGCACATCTCTGGCTACTAGCAAAGGCTACTATTTTTTCATGTTTTATTGATCCTTTATACTTCTGTGGTTGGTCCATTCAGTGATTTCACTAACACTTCTTGCAGGATTCACAGATGACTCTAATTCCATCCTCTCATCTGGTTCCCCATTGAATCCCCAGGGAGCTCTGAAAGGGAGGTCAGTGTGCTCTCCTCCACTGTCCTCAGGCCATGCTCCTTTTGGAATGAGAGCAGTACCCAGGTTTGGTCCAAACACTTCCCTGAACTCCTCTCCTGAGCTCTGCCTAGTCTTGGATCTTTTGAGTCTGCCTGAGGCAGTCACTGACAGCCAGGATTTTAGAAAGCCTGTACATTTGTTATCTCACCATTAGTCTGGAAGAAAATTTAAGAAATAACCTGTATTAATAATTAATCATTAGATTCTATTACTTTCTCATTGCAATTCACATTTGCACTTGACCTACCTTTAATTTGTTATGTAAGTGTAAAACCTCAGCTAAAATTTGTCACAGAAATGTAGAAAACTCAGAAATATTGTGATCATGTGCTTGTGAAGGTCTCAGACGGGTGAACATACTGTAATGTGATGACCTAATTTTTGCTTAACTGTAATTTTTTTATCCCAATGCAAATGCACATTTTTCTGAAGAAGAATTGGTTCTGGAAGTGAGTTCACCTGTAGTCCCAAGCACCTTTGTACTGTCTACCTGCCATCATGGGGCTCCATTTGGGATACATCTGTGATGCTGGATTGTGATCTCGTCCATTGCTGTCACTCATCTACCACAGGACCCACACACAAAATGCACACAGCAAGCATTTCAACAATGTTTCTTGTGGGGAATGAAAGAAATGCAGTTATCTTTTACTTTAGCATGTTGACATTTGAAAACATTGTGTAGTCTCTGAAAATATTACCAAAGAAGCATTATTTGTACTCAAGACACCCGTGAGAATGAATGCATGTGAGGATTAAATGAATCATTTGAGAATCTGGAAAACAGCAATACCATGTTTATGGCTGAGAAATCAGAAAAATGCCCATGACAATCAATCTCTCTCTCTCTCTCTCTCTCTCTCTCTCTCTCTCTCTGTGTGTGTGTGTGTGTGTGTGTGTGTGTCTCAGAACAGATGCTAAGTGGAGTGTTGCTTTGTGGTATATAAGAGATTCATGGATGAGGAAAAGGCTCTTTGGAATGACCTAAGTCTCTTCAGAGACCCCATGGCAAATACAGCAGGTTTTTCAAAGTACTTGGATTTTGCCTAAATAACAGTAGGGATAGGGGTAGAAGGAAAGAAAGCCTGAATGTCAAAAGTAGATTCAGAAAATAGCAACTTATGTTATAAAATGGAAAGTAGAATAGACAGGAGACTGAAAGTTAAATTCTAGGAACCCAAAGCAGAATATTTAATAATGTCCTACATGGTTAAAGAGGAATTCTTGAATAAAATCACACTAAAAATGGCCAGGTTTTTAAAGGGACATGTGGCAGGAAAAAACAAAACAAAACCCAGGAACAAAGAGAACAGTGCATGAGAATTAAATCCAAAAACGAAATGAAGCTGGATGTGAAGTCAGTGAAAAGGAGCTTTTCTGTCATTTTAAAGGCAAATGATGGATAGGGAAGGGCCGTTCCTGAAGTGGATGACATGATGCTAAAACCACCTGCAGTCCACAGGCTTCCCAGGCAGAACCCCATCCTCATTCCCTATGTGTATGCAACACCAAGCACAACAACTGGCACATACAGACATCTCACCAACACAACACAAACCTAATCAACAGAGAAAGAAGTCAGAACTGTTAACTCTTGCTTCATTGTCTGTGGGGGAAAAAAAGATTTTCAGAATGGAAAATATGAATTCAATAGCATAAGTGAAGAAACTAAAATAACTGTTTGACAGAACAAAGGGAAATTTTTGACTCATTTTAAGAAAGTACTTGGCAGTTACTCAGATGGCCTTAAAGCCAACAAAAGTGTTTTAAGAGGTGGCAAAAGCCATTATCAAATTTTCTGCCAATAAAAATATCCCCTACTCTTTTTCTGGCATATATATATATAACCACTTTGGATTAGTAACATGTTATCACTAATATCACACGATACCTTATTATATCTGATTAAATTGGAAAACAAAAACTGTAAATTCCCCCATTCCTTTTGTTCCCCCAAATTAAGTGAGATTTTATTAACTTTCTTGCTTCAAGGCATTTTGTAAATGGAATGTACCATGTATGTTTTAAAACAACAAAAATTAAAATGACAACACATTCTAATTAAGATGCTTCAAATATTCCCTATCCATTGTCCAATATTTTCCTAAGAGACAGCTATATTACAAGTACTAGACTGAGAATCTGTGAAGACACAAGCAAATATGGCTCAATTCCTACTCAATTATCAGGGTTCGTGATGGATGTGCCGTGTGTGTGTGTGTGTGTGTGTGTGTACAGGGCAGTATGAAAAACAAAGCATCAAGAGTTTGAAAAAATCAACCAAATGAACATTATCTTGTATCTTCATGGAGAAAAGATACCAGAAGAAATGTAAACTGTGGAAGTAAAAGAGGAAAAGGACCAGAAAATTTTCATAATTATGAAGTTTATTTTTATTTACTATGCCAACATTTTCAAGAGACTTTACATCAGTTTTTATAATCCATTTTACAGGCAAATTCTAATATACAGTATTTACTCTGAACTGGTATTAAAATCAATGGGGAAAACAATACTGCAGATATTTGTTTTTAGTCATGACGCAGAAGTCATGGCTTAGAGATTTTAAATTCTCAAAGCCATAATTACCTTACTATGGCAATGCTTTATCAAAATGAAATGTGAGTAGATTTTCTCTAATAAGGTTAAGACATATATCTTTAATTAATAACATAATTGTAGACTGGCGTTCACTGTCATAATCATTTATCCTAATATATTCTCTCAAATTGCTGCAGCAGGAAATGTAAAGGGACATGTGAAAAGACCAACAGAAAACAGAATTCAAGCAATGGAATTAAAAAAAATAGGAAGGCCATTATCCCGAGGAAAAATCTGTACTACAGTTATAATTAATTTTCAAATGTGTGCATAAGCATGCAAACATAATGACCCCAAACTCAGTTAACATGAGAACTACTGTGTAAGACAGAGAGGGAACTGAAACAGTGCTGCAGTCTCACTGCATTTCCATACAAGCCCGGCGAAAGTACATCCCCAGTGCCCTGGAGCCCAAGAGGCTACTGCTGGGAACCAAGAGTATACCTCTGTGTCTGGAGCACCACCCATGCCACAGGAACCTTTGGAAGTGACAGTTATAGGGGTCACATTCTCCTGATTCTTTGACTAAAATACTTAAGGGGACAATGAAACATTCAAAGAAAACTTAGTGCTTTAATGGGAAAAGTAACATGCTAGGAATATAATTCTGTGAAAGGCTGTACTGATATCTTCAAACAGCAACAATTACAGAGAAATTCATTTCACTAAACAAAACTACATCAAAGAGGAGGCATTTTGATATTTCAGGCACAACTCCAAGCAATTAAGCTCATTTAAAGTGCAAATCTGGCAATTTCTTTCATATTCAGATTTTTACTTGTTAAAATATTAAGCTCCTTAATATCTATACAATGAACAGTTTTCTATATGCCTGAAAATATTGCACAAATGAAAATGAGACTCCAAAAGAATAATGCTAGATGGTCTGTTATTAGAAACATTCTAAATGATGTAACTCTATGATCCTTTGTTTAATGCCTTAAAAAACCTGTACCTAAACTAATAAACTCCTTAGGCCAAACTTTCTTTTAAAAATATCAGTATGTATCCCATTAATATATGTCAAATATATGTCTGCACACTCTTAATTTTCTCCCACAATTGTGAAACTTAACCCTCATAAAACTTCTGCAGGACTTAAAATTCATATGCTTCAACCACAAGAACTAAGAGAATGAGTGATCTAAGTTTCTGTGGAGGGGGACCTGGCACAGAGTTGATATACAGAAGCAATAAGCAGATCAGGCCAAATCTGAGAGGGTGATCTCTGGTCATGCAGGAGAGCTACATCCTCACTTCCATTTCTGACTTAACATTTACTACAGAGCAGACAAGAAAGATATTCTTACATCTTTTAAAGAAAACTGCAGGCAAATACTTATGTTATTTATACAAACATCACAGATATTTTTCTCTTAAGTATATTATGCTTCTAAATTATATTGACCTAATCTTCTGCCAAGATTAAGGATCATAAAGGTACAGAGAATCTGAACTGATGGGCTAAAATTTCTGCAGATTCATAGTGGGGAAAAAGATTAGAATAAACAAATTCATGGCGTCAACATTTTTACATGATTGAAAATAGAGACACTTCTATCACAGTAGGGGATTAAGAATAAATTAAAAATTTTAAACTTTTCCCCTAAGGATAAGGCCAACTTAATATGTCAGAAGGATCTCTACCAACTCCAAGTAAATCAAAGTTTACTAATTCATTAGTATGTTTTACTTTAAGGAAATAAAGTAGGATAGCATCCTATTTACAACATAAGAGATCAGCTTTCTTCTTCAAAATCAAAGACCATCTACCTGCACCCACATACAGCTACAGTCATTCTGGCTCACTTCCATGAAGAAAGAAGAGCTTTGCTGATATGTGTGGTGACTGTATGTTAACAATATTGGTACTATATGAAGGATTTTCTGAACTCCAGTGCTTCTCTGGCAGAAGTGCAATGGTGTGAGAATATGACTAGATTTGTGCTGCTCACCTGTTATCAAATCCAAGAAAGGTTTGTGTCACTGAACATCAAATTTACTTGAATGGTTCTGATGCGTAAGGAAAAACTGCAACAAAATGATAGCAAAAACCTATTCCTGCTAAAGCACCTGGGTTTCTCTATAAAGGGACAATTTCATCAGTGTACATTATTTAAAGGAATTTCTAGAAATTTGAGTGACTACTCTTTGCCCACAACTCCTTTTGACATATTTTTGGTCAGCTAATCAACTCTGTCTGAAAATATTAATTCCAATTAAATCAGCTGGGAATGACCAGCCTAAAGATGACATGATTTGGGAGAACAGAAAGCAAATTTACTGAACTGTCTGACAATGGCCTGCAGCATGATTGGGTTTTTGCACATGGTTGCTTGGAGGTTCCACAGCTACCTTCCATAGCATATTAAAATAAATAAGCATATTCCCTTTGAAATACCTTTTAATTAAATTCAATTTCCCATCTACAATTCTTTTTCTTGCCAAATCTACTTTTTAAGAAACTGTCATTCAAATATGTATCAACAGAAAAGAGAAACCTAGGAAATTCAGAAAAGCAAAACTATTATGAATTCTAACTTTGTCAGGATAGTCTTACTTAAATTTATAATTTTCTCAATTCTAACTTATTTTGTTACAGAAAATAAGCTTTAAATCCCTATGCATAGGATACTTATGTACCATCAAATTTTTGTGCAAATATTTCAAGTCCATTATTCTGGTCTTATATTAGCAGAAAGTCAATAAATATAAATATTACAATAAAGACAATTTAAAATATATGCTGCAGAACCTTAAAGCAGCTATGATGGATCCATAACCCTATATCGTTCAAAACTGAATTGCCAGTAAGACTCTAGCACCAACATAGGTTACAAATGGATACACCTTAGGCACAGGTTTCAAGGTGTACCTCAAGCTCTCCAAATTTACCCAGTACAAGCACAAATGGTATGTTTGTATGAGAGAAACAAGATATCAAAGAAAGCAAATAACTGGTTCATATATAATAATACTGTCAGCCTAGGGAATCTGTCTGGAAAATGAATAAACAGTAAGACTAGCTTGCAGATCCTAAGCAAGGAGAAATAAAACTTACATGGACTTCCCACTCAAAGCCTGATCTTTATTCACCACAAAGCTTTTGCATAGACCTTTTCAATATACAAAACACTGGCCAGAACTCTGCTTAAAGAGTACCATCTTCCATTATCATATCTTTAGTTAAAATAGTAGCCATATTCACAGGAGGAATAAGCCGGGGGGTGGGGGGGAGTTCTGATAACCACAGTTAACACAGACCACAGAAGAACTCAGTCAGCAAAGCACACTTCTTGCCTGCTAAGGGAAACATGGTGATTCTTCTGATGTGCAGAAGGGACAGCATGAGCAGAGACCATGCTGGGCCTCTGAGATGGGGAAAGCAAACTTCTGTGTTTACCTGAGACAAGGATACTTAAATAGTATATACTTCAACCAAGGTGTAAAATAGAAGAGCCAAACTTAATAGAAGCTTCCACATTTTAATTTTAAGATTTGCAGGCTTTCGATGGAACCTCCAACATGATGGCAAACTGCACATAAAGCTATTACAGAACAGGTTGGTTTTTAAAAAAAAAAAAACAAATTGGCAGGTGATGGCTATACACTTAATGTATCTTTGGCTTAGGAAGACGAGAACATCGATTAGAGGCCAAACAATCCCCAGAATGCAAATTGCCATTTGGATTCTGCACGATTTCTTTTTGCCGTGTTAGTGGCCTTGGAATGTTTGTCTTGGCCTGGAAGTTTTGAGGCTCTAGTCCGGGGCTGCTTATTTGTTTTTGTTTGAAAGAGCTGGAAGGGGGGCGGAGCTTAGATGCTTTCAGATTCAGATTATTTGCAAGATTTGTTTGACTAGATGTTGGTTGAAGTTTTGCTGAATTACATGGTGTGATTATTGGTGATTTCTTACAAGTGGGAGTCCTACTTGGAGATGATTCAGAATCTGGAGGAGGTACCAAAGAACTCAAGATAGATGGCTTTAAAAAATGCAAGGACTTGGGCTGCGATGGGTAGCCCACCAGTGAAGACTGCTCTCTTCCAACTCTCTTAGGCTGATCTACTGTACTTGACTGGGGAGGTGTCTGAAGAGAAGCAGGTATAAACTGCATCTCACTAATTTGATTCTTTGCCAAGTGATAAGGCTCTTGAGCATTTACGGTCATGTTCAAGTTCATTTCAGAAGGTGTACTCTTCACCACATCCATCTTGAACTGTGGGCTTGAGGAAAAAGGCCGGTCTTCTAAACCATAGTTACTTTCTTGTTGCAAGCCATGTGTAAAGCTTCCATCTGAATGTGAACCACCCTTATGCATAACCTGGACTGCACATTCACTGTGGGCCTCGATATGTTGTGGCCTTGTTAGTTTTCCCTGGGTGTGGTCTGTGGATCTGGGAAGGCTGCTGGAAGGCTGTAGTACTTGAGGCTGTTAAAATTAAAAACAGTATTAACAATCTATCTTAGAAATGCACCCAGATTTAATGTAAGCTAAGTTGTAATTAGGCTGTGTTGGTACTTACTATGCTTTAATACTGAAGTATGTGAGTTTTATTAGAAGTAAAAAATGAATTGCAATTCAAGCAAATTCATGACACAGATATAAAAGTGATAATGCAAACAAAAAATGATACAGGCAGTGAACATTAAACAAGATCCAAAATTAAACAGGGGAAAGGAAAACCTTAAGTACTGATTCATTGTACAAAGAGAAATTCCTGCCTTAATAGATTCATTAAGTATTTACAACTTTATCTACAGGAACACCTGAGAGGATAATTTCCATAGCACTTTGCTTTAATCTCCACAAGTAGCACTCAGATTTAATGGTAACCTTCAGAATATCACCCACTGTAGAGTTCTTTATATGAGCTGTGTACTACATTATCAAGTATTGTACCTCTGTCAAGAACTAGAATCACCAGCAGATAAACAAGGTTTAGAATGAAGATCTTATTGTCAGTTTTTGTGAAATGCTAATTAATGACTTGAGCAAAAATAGGTCAATACACTTAACTAATCCTAGCCTACTTCTAATATACTTGTTAAAAAGTCCAGAATAAAATGTTTTCAAAGTTTATTTGTTCTGGCTCATTATCGTTATGGCTGACACAGTGAGCATTCATTTAGTAAAATTAAAAATGATGGGGGTGTAGATTTGTACTGCAGTGCTTCACTAGTATATACAATGCCTAGTACTGCTGGGGTTCAATCCCTAACACTGCCTCCCCATCAACTTTTGAGTGACAGCTGAGAGCAACACAAATCCAAAACTGCCTGGACCTAGAACTAAAGCACAAAGTCCCACAATAGCAAGGTTCTTAAGGCCAATGTGTCTCACATGTATTTCTCTACAGCTCACTGTGTGGTTACCTTCTACAAAAATCAGAGGAAACATGTGATTTCCACTACTTTTTGGCATTTAGTTAAAAGAATCTGAATCTTAAAGCTATTCAGTGGCCCAAGTAGTTACAATATATGGGGCCTTTCCTGATACAGAGTTGAGCTGCTACAATTGACAATCATTCTCTTTCTCTCTTTCATGCACACTTTCTATTAAATAATACAGGCTAAAATGTCAAAGAGTTTGGAAAAGAGCTTTGAAATGTGAATTTTAAAGGATCATTTTGCACTAATAACTTTTTTGCTAATCCACTGTTTTTTTGCTAAACCTACTGTGTAGGTTTGTCTCTAATGTCTAGAGATAATGTCTCCAACAGAAGGGGAAGACCCATTTTACTGTATCATTTGTGTTCTTTCACTCCTTTGACCAGCACAAAAGTGGCTGCCCTAGGTTTAGGCATAGATTGTGGCATGGTTGGAAATGTCTGAGAATAGGCTCTTCGTGACTCTAGAAGGATATCCAGCCTGATGGTCAAGACTATGTCTATTCAGAATTAATCTGTATATTTAGTTTACATTAAATTTTATGGCATAATGTTTAAAATAAATGAGCCAAGTCAGTTTTTAACTCAAGCTAAATATCCCAGACTTTAAAGACACTGGGCTTCGTCACAATAGATTACCACAGAGGTGAATAATGTGCAAGATAATAAAATAAAATCAATACTAATTAATTCAATAAAGTCTCTTTGGAGTTCCCCAGAAAAAAAATGACAACGCAAAACTGATCACAAACCTTGGAAAGATTTGTGGGAAAATAGAGAAGGGCCATATTAAGGAAATCAAAATCTACCAGAGGTGGTGGGGAGAAACAAGGAGAAGGGGCAGCATTAAACAGGCTGGCTACACAAGGACTTGCATTCCAGTTTCAACTCCTTTTACCTTTTAACACAGTAAAGTATTCTTATCCCAAGTTAAAGCACTTTAAGACTTGAAAAATCAGTGACAAAAAATGACTTTGTTGTAATATACCTATTGCCACTAGGGACAAAAAGGTATAAATATGTGGTATCATGTGAAGCATTAAAAGGTGTGATTTCCTAATTAACTAATAAACTGATTATAGGACAAGCAAACCTCCAGAAAGGGTTCACTGTGACCTAGTGATAAATGTCAGAAAGATATGCTGCTTCTATTAAATGTGATGAGGCTCCTTTCAAATACTAAGAACTGGAGAATGACTAGGTTTTAAGAATAACATGTTCAATCTTTTAACTGAGAGGAATTAAACTGAACAGTTATACAAATAATAGTCTAGATTATCAGTAATTACAGTGAATAAATGAGTGATTTCAAGGCTAAATAATGTAGTTGTATAATTTTATTAAAAATTAATTTTAGTAGTAGATATAATTTCCCTATCTGCAAGTAAATATCATGTTTTATCATTTATTTGAAAATTATAGTTTGGGAAATTAATTCCTCTATTGTGAAGAAAAAAGCCTCTTTCAAGAAGAGTAAGAAATGACTATAATCTGAGGGACCAAGTAGGCAACTTGCTTCTAACACATGGAAAACGATGTGAAACAGGTTACCACAAAGGACTGAACTGTCACTAATTACTTGCTGACAAATTGAGTAACAAGCTACGCCTATCTACTAGCAAACAAAACAGATGTGTTTTGATAGCTTATTATTTACACTACGATTTCCCCAAATTCTAAACACTCACATAAAGGTAAGATGTTAACAATATATTTTGCATCATCCACTACCGCTTCTATGGCCATTAAAAAGTCTTTTACACATCTTTAGAGTGAATTTAAATATAAAAATTCCATATTCTCATGAATAATAATAACAGAGAAAGGAACATAGAAGGCTATTCATCTTTTTTATTATCATATTATTTTTTACTCATTTCTTAAATGTCTGTTATGAGCCTGGAGCTGAAAACAACCTTGTTCCTCTGCTTAAGCAGAGTTCACAGTTCCTCTGTGCTAAATGTTCGCAAAGGGTGAGTAAGAGTTTGCCACATAAACAAACTGTGTAGCAGGCCAGTACATGCAGCCAGAGAGGCAAAAGGGCATGGAGTGCTCTGATCATTTCAAATTGTCAGACTGTACAGAGAACACTGCCGGAGGGGAGAAAGGCAAGGCCAGCTCCAAAAGGAACTCATGTCGGGCTGATGTAGATGATGAGAGCTACTGATGAATGTTAAGCAAAAGTTTTAAATGCAATGTGTATTTTAGAATCATCGCTTTGGAATCAGAAACATAACTAAAAGGGAGGAAACTGTATCAAAACAGCCTAGAGCCAGGTAGTAAGTTACTGTCAACAGGTCAAGTGACAATCTGTAACACTGTAAAATCAGGATATTGGCAGAAAAACTGGGGATAGTGAAAAAGATTTGAGATGGGATATTTGAGGTACTTCCCTGTGTTCAGAGGTGGTCTCTGAGGAAGTTGCCTACCAATTAATACATGTCACAGTCTCAGCAGCCTACAAGACCCAGAAGAATACCCCCACCACAAGGGGACTCCACCATCTTCCCTATACTCACAAATGAGTGGAGTTTTAAGCACTCTGTCCTCGCAACATAAAAAGGGGGTTGTTGCTAAAGCTTCAACATGTAATGCCAGCCCCAGAGATATGTGCCAAGGTCAAATACCAGCAACAGGCACTACTGGTGTGTTGTGCAAAGGGTTGACAGTCATCTTTACTGATAATCTGAAATGCCTACTCAGCATTGCTTACAAAGTAACCAGAGGCCATGAGCTGCTTACATGCATGTCCATGCTTTATCATTTTTGTTGTAGTTGATATTCCTATTATTTGGCACTTAATGGGCTTTAAATAAATACTTGCTACAAAAATTAGTATTGGGGGACTATTACTTATATATTCAAAAATGGCTTCTTTTGGCCACAAATTACCAAAGTGATACTTTCCTTTTAGGTCAATAATGGAATATTAATGATTAAATAAAAACCAGTTAAAAGTGAGAGTCAGAATCACAGTGCATTCTTGTAATCCCAGCTATGCAGGAAGAGGAAGTAGGTTGATCATGGTCTGAGGCCAGGCCTGGGCAAAAGCCCAGGACCCAATCTGAAAAACAAACTAAAGCAAAAAAGGGTTGGGGGCATGGTTCAAGTGGTAGAGCACTTGCTAAGCAAGCACCAGGCCCTGAGTTCAAACCCCAGGATGGCAAAAAAAAAAAAAAAAAAAAAAAAAGGAACCCAATAAAAGGAAAATACTGTTTTCTCCAACAGGTTTAGTGTTAACTTAATAATCCATATTTAGAAGGATAACAGGAAAGATTAATTATACGTTAATTTGAACACAAGTACCTCTCCTAATGATCTACAAGCTTAGTCATCAAATGTTTCTTTTGTTTTTTACTTGAAGACTAGGGATTAAATATGATTACATAAGTGAAACATTTAGCACAGGTGTCATTAACTTATAGTAAGTGCTTAGTACATGTCACCTTATGCACATTAATATAGAGGTATAAAAAAATTAAAATACAGCTATTTTACAACTGGGTCTTTAAGAGAAAACAAGTTCTTTAGCAACACAATAATAAATTAGTTGCTATAGAATGAGGTTTCTACATTTCAAATGCAAAGTTCCATACTGTCAGTTATATTTAAATGTTTTAAATTAATAGCAGCCATATCTTATATGACAGAAATCAAGATTCCTTTCCTTGCCTTCCTGGAAATAAGAACTAGAGTGAGGATGTGCAAGATACTTTAAAGTTTAGAGCTAGTCTGACACAGTATAGGATCACAGCTTTTGGAGTCAGACTGCTTTGACTTTGAGTCTTGGATCTACCCCTTTACTCTTGGTGAGATACTGGGCAAATGATCTCACTGCCCTGAAATGAATTTCATGATTTATAAAATGAGGTTAATACTAGTATCTCTACCTCATAGAATTATTATAAATAATAAATAATATGTATGCAATTGCTTACTACAATGCCTGCCACATTACATACCTAGGAAATATCATATTCCAGGCTCTGAGAGATGAGTTTTTTTCTTTCTTTCCAATAGCAGACGCCCAAACTCTTTAGTT